GGGGGACACGGGGACACCGGGGGTGTGGGGGACAGCGGGGACACCGGGGGTGTGGGGGACACAGGGACACCGGGGCTGAGGGGGGGACATGGGGACACCAGGGGTGTAGGGGGGACACGGGGACACCGGGGCTGTTGGGGGGACACTGGAGCTGTGGGGACATGGGGACAGCAGGGAATGTGGTGACATGGAGGGGTATGGGGGCATGGGGGACACTGGGGACATGGGGTTATGAGGACATGGGGACACTGTGGGGACATGGGGGGACATGAGGACACTGGGACAGGGGGACACTGTGGGGACATGGGGGGGATGTAGGGACACTGGGGGACGTGGGGACACTGTGGGACATGGGGCCATGGGGACACTGTGATCATGGGGCCAGCGCAGGGCCCCGCCTCGGGGCACAGCCCTACGCCTGCACCCCTGGGTGTCCCCTGGGTGTCACCAGTGTCCCCAGTGTGTCCCCAGCAGTGTCCCCAGTGTCCCCAGCATGTCCCCAGCAGTGTCCCCAGTGTCCCCAGGGTGTCCCCAGGGTATCCCCAGTGTCCCCAGCGTGTCCCCAGCAGTGTCCCCAGTGTCCCCAGGGTGTCCCCAGGGTATCCCCAGTGTCCCCAGGGTGTCCCCAGGGTATCCCCAGTGTCCCCAGCAGTGTCCCCAGGGTGTCCCCAGCAGTGTCCCCAGCGTGTCCCCAGCAGTGTCCCCGGTGTCCCCAGCATGTCCCCAGGGTATCCTCAGTGTCCCCAGGGTGTCCCCAGGGTATCCCCAGTGTCCCCAGCATGTTCCCAGCAGTGTCCCCAGCGTGTCCCCAGTGTCCCCAGCAGTGTCCCCGGTGTCCCCGGTGTCCCCAGCACGTCCCTGTCCCGCAGTGCCCGGTGCTGAAGGGGCGCGTGCAGAAGATCCTGTACTGGCGCTGGGGGGAGCCCCCCGCCCCCGTGGCCCCCCCCGGCGCCCCCCAGGCCCAGGAGGGGCCCCCCCAGGCCCTGCAGGGCCGCTCCGAGCGCGAGTTCTTCGTCAAGTGGGTGGGGCTGTCCTACTGGCACTGCTCCTGGATCAAGGAGCTGCAGGTACGCCTGGGGCACCCCAAAACATCCCCCAAAATCCTGGGGGGGACACCCCGAAGTTATGGGGGGGGGCATTCTGAAATCCTGGGGGAACACCCCAAAGTATGGGGGAACACCTGGGAGCTGTCCTACTGGCACTGCTCCTGGATCGAGGAGCTGCAGGTACGCCTGGGGCACCCCAAAACATCCCCCAAAGTGCTGGGGGACACCCCGAAATCCTGGGGAGGGCATCCCAAAATCCTGGGGGGGCACCTCAAAGTATGGGGGAACACCTGGGCGCTGTCCTACTGGCACTGCTCCTGGATCAAGGAGCTGCAGGTACGCCTGGGCACCCCAAAATCCTGGAGGGACACTCCAAAAACCTGAGGGGACACCCCAAAATCCTGGGGGAACACCCCAAAGTATGGGGGAACACCTGGGGGCTGTCCTACTGGCACTGCTCCTGGATCAAGGAGCTGCAGGTACACCTGGGGCACCCCAAAACATCGGGAGGGACCCCAAAAACCTGGAGGAGCACCCCAAAGTATGCAGGGAACAGCTGGACAACTTGGAGGGGCTGAACCTTGAGGGGCTCCCCTCTAATTTTGGGGTGATTCCCTTTAACTTTGGGATGTTGTCTCTAATTCAGGGTGCCCCCTCTAATTCTGGGGTATTCCCCTCTAACTTTGGGCTTTTTCCCTCTGATTTTGGGGTGTTCCTCTAACTCTGGGATCCTCCCTTCTAACTTTGGGGTGTTTCCCCCCCTAACTGCGGGTTTTTCTCCTGTAACTTTGGGGTTTTCTCCTGTAACTTTGGGGTTTTCTCCTGTAACTTCGGGGTTTTTCCCTCTAACTTTGGGGTTTTCTCCTCTAACTTTGGGGTGTTCCCCCCTAACTTTGGGGTTTTTCCCCTCTAACTGGGTTTTTCTCCTGTAACTTTGGGGTTTTTCCCTCTAACTTTGGGGTTTTCAACTCTAACTTCGGGGTGTTCCTCTAACTTTGGGGTGTTTGGGGTGCCCCCCCTAACTTTGGGTTTTTCTCCTGTAACTTTGGGGGTTTTCCCTCTAACTTTGGGGTTTTCTCCTCTAACTTCGGGGTGTTCCTCTAACTTTGGGATGTTCCCCCCTAACTTTGGGGTTTTCCTCTCTAACTCTGGGATTTTCCTCTCTAACTTTGGGGTGTCCCCCCGAACTTCGGGGTTTTCTCCTCTACCTTTGGGGTGTTCCCCCCTAACTTTGGGGTGTCTCCTGTGATTTCGGGGCGCAGCTGGAGATCTTCCACCTGGTGATGTACCGGAACTACCAGCGGAAGAACGACATGGACGAGCCCCCTCCCCTGGACTACGGCTCCGGGGACGACGACCCCAAGAGCGAGAAGCGGGGGGCAGGGGGGGACCCCCTTTTCGGGGGCATGGAGGAGCGCTTCTACCGCTACGGCATCAAACCCGAGTGGATGACGGTGCACCGCATCATCAACCACAGGTGGGCACCCCAAATGTTCTCCAGGGCACCCCAAATATCCTCTGGGGCGCCCCAAATGTCCTGCAGGGTACCCCAAATGTCCTGCAGGGCACCCAAATGTCCCGTGGGGCACCCCAAATATCCTCCAGGGCGCCCCAAATGTCCTCCAGGGCACCCAAATACCCTCCATGGCACCCCAAATGTCCTCTGGGGCACCCCAAATATCCTCCAGGGCACCCCAAATATCCTCTGGGGCGCCCCAAATGTCCTGCAGGGTACCCAAAATGTCCTCCAGGGCACCCAAATGTCCCGTGGGGCACCCCAGATATCCTCTGGGGCGCCCCAAATGTCCTGCAGGGTACCTGAAATGTCCTCCAGGGCACCCCAAATATCCTCTGGGGCACCCCAAATGTCCTGCAGGGTACCCGAAATGTCCTCCAGGGCACCCAAATACCCTCCATGGCACCCCAAATATCCTCTGGGGCGCCCCAAATGTCCCGCAGGGTACCCCAAATATCCTCTGGGGCGCCCCAAATGTCCTGCAGGGTACCAGAAATGTCCTCCAGGGCACCCCAAATATCCTCTGGGGTGCCCCAAATGTCCTGCAGGGTACCTGAAATGTCCTCCAGGGCACCCCAAATGTCCCTCGGGGCACCCCAAATATCCTCCGGGGCACCCCAAATGTCCTCCAGGGCACCCCAAATACCCTCCATGGCACCCCAAATGTCCTCCAGGGCACCCCAAATGTCCTCAGGGGCACCCCAAATGTCCCGTGGGGCACCCCAAATATCCTCCAGGGCACCCCAAATGTTCTCCAGGGCACCCAAATATCCTCTGGGGCGCCCCAAATGTCCTGCAGGGTACCCGAAATGTCCTCCAGGGCACCCAAATGTCCCGTGGGGCACCCCAAATATCCTCTGGGGCGCCCCAAATGTCCTGCAGGGTACCTGAAATGTCCTCCAGGGCACCCCAAATATCCTCTGGGGCGCCCCAAATGTCCTCCAGGGTGCCCCAAATGTCCCGCGGGGCACCCCAAATATCCTCAGGGGCACCCCAAATGTCCTCTGGGGCACCCCAAATGTCCCCCAGGGCACCCCAAATACCCTCCAGTGCACCCCAAATGTCCTGCAGGGCACCCCAAATGTTCTCCAGGGCACCCAAATGTCCTCCGGGGCACCCCAAATATCCTCCAGGGCACCCCAAATATCCTCCGGGGCACCCCAGATATCCGCTGGGGCACCTCAGATATCCTCTGTGTCCTCAAGTGACCCTGGATGTCCCTGGATGACCCTGTGGTGTCCCTGCGTGTCCCCAGTGTCCCCGTGCCCCGGGTGACGCGGTGTCCCTGGTGTCCCCATGCCCGGTGTCCCCGTGCCCGGTGTCCCCGTGCCCGGTGTCCCCGTGCCCCTGGTGACGCGGTGTGCCCGGTGTCCCCGTGCCCGGTGCCCCTGTGCCAGGTGTCCCCATGCCCGGTGTCCCCATGCCCGGTGTCCCTGTGCCCCGGGTGACACTATGTCCCCGGTGTCCCCGTGCCCGGTGTCCCCGTGCCCGGTGCCCCTGTGCCAGGTGTCCCCATGCCCGGTGTCCCCGTGCCCGGTGTCCCCATGCCCGGTGTCTCTGTGCCCCGGGTGACACTATGTCCCCGGTGTCCCCGTGCCCTGGGTGACACTATGTCCCCGGTGTCCCCGTGCCCGGTGTCCCCGTGCCCGGTGTCCCCGTGCCCGGTGTCCCCGTGCCCCCGGTGACGTGGTGTCCCGGTGTCCCCGTGCCCGGTGTCCCCGTGCCCCGGTATCCCCGTGCCCTGGTGTCCCCATTCCCCAGTGACACGGTGTCCCGGTGTCCCCATGCCCGGTGTCCCCGTGCCCCGGGTGACACTATGTCCCCGGTGTCCCCGTGCCCGGTGTCCCCGTTCCCCAGTGACGCGGTGTCCCGGTGTCCCCATGCCCGGTGTCCCCGTTCCCCAGTGACGCGGTGTCCTGGCGTCCCCATGCCCGGTGTCCCCGTGCCCCGGGTGACACTATGTCCCCGGTGTCCCCGTGCCCGGTGTCCCCGTGCCCCGGGTGACACTATGTCCCCGGTGTCC